ATTACTGTGTGCAGATTTGGAACCAGTCCCTCTAGGATTTTCCAGGTCCAAATTATGATACATCTTTCTCGCCTGCCTTCCAAGGAGTATAGGTCAAGGGACTTCAAACGTTCTCAGTAATGAAGGTGCCTGACTAAACTTATACGTTCAGCGAAGGTTCTCTATACATTCTCCAGACCTGCAATTTTGCCTGCCTTGAATGGGTCTGTTAATGTACAGCAGTATTCCAGCCTAGAGAGAACAAGCGACTTAAAGAGGATCATCATTGGTTTGGCATCCCTTGTTTTGAATGTTCTCATTAGCAATCCTATCATTTTCCTTGTAGCTGTGATAATGACACTGTTGTGATCCTTGAAGGCGAGACTCTTACATTATCACTTGTAAATCTTTCACGTTAGTTTTTAGTTCTGTGTGGTTAGAATCTGCTTTATAATCCTGCCTTTTATTTCCATAAGTTCTCCATGACGGAGTAATTGAAATTTGTCTTCATTAAAATTCAGATTTTCTGCGGCCCACTGGAAGACTTTGTTTATATCATTCTGGAGATTTATAGCGTCTTCATTGGATGACACTCGTGCAAATTCTAGTTATCTTCTGCTAAGGCAGACACGGTTGCTATGGTTTACATTTCTGTTTAATAAGTACCTAAGTTTATTCAGGTATACACAAATACAGTTGTGATGGTTTGTAAAACCGACAAGTTGAAGATTGAGACACTTTTGCAACATATGGGAATCTTTATTCAGGAAACGTTTCGCCACTCAGTGGCTTCATCAGTCCAATACAAAGTAGAAAGACGTAAGGAGAGGAGGAGTTTGAGGTAATCAGTTCCTCAGCCTGGTGTCGATGTGTTCAGTCCATCAATCTTGTAGAATGTACAGCATAGGGCCGTAGACGTGGCTTATATACTGTAGTGAGGTGAGGTGAAGCAGGAGGAGGTGAGGTCATAGTGGTACCATCCACTAGTCGAAGTAGGTCTTCGTCCAAAGGTTGGACAAGTGTTGAAGAATTCTTTGTAACAAGATCCCATGATGTTGCAGTGTCTGACAGTTGTGATGAATGGTTTGAAAAACCGACAAGTTGAAGATTGAGACACTTATGCAACATATGGGAATCTTTATTCAGGAAACGTTTCGCCACACAGTGGCTTCATCAGTTCAATACAAAGTAGAAAGACGTAAGGAGAGGAGGAGTTTGAGGTAATCAGTCCCTCAGCCTGGAGTCGATGTGTTCAGTCCATCAATCTTGTAGAATGTACAGCATAGGTATGTATGTATGTATAATGTTCGCCAAGACCGTAGTCCTGGCACGGGTCTCAATCTTGCGATGACCCGTCTCTGGCTCCCGAGGGAGAAAGGTTTCTACAATGATGCGACATATGCTGCTCAAGCACTCTTCTGGTCAGTTCAACTGGTGCATCTCATAAGCGACAACACCAGATGTACTCCTAACTGTGGACACTAGCGAGGAGGAGGATATGTCGTTATCACAGGTAACAGCTTGTCTGGTTCGTTGACTCCATGGTACACTAGTGTGGCCGCAGTCATCTCTGGGTCCTCTTCGGGAGGGAATATCACTCCTAGTTGCCTGCGGAGTGTCTCAGTAACTTCGCACTCCAGAAGATAGTGTGTTAGGGGCCGCTGGACAACGTGCTGACAGTACTGGCACATCTCCTCCTCAGCCTTGTCTACCATCATCTTGGCTGTGGGAAAGCCCAAACGAAGCCGATGGATGGCGGTACACTGAGCTCTGGACCAGCTTCTATCATATTGAGGGTGTTCTCCCTGAGTCGCTGCTCGGTACCACTGTTGAGATGGGGTATCACCTAAGACCTCCCCCATAAGTTTCATGGCTCTGGCAGCCACCAGTTTGGTCTGTCGTAGGCTGATTGGGACAGTAATCCCAACATGTGGATAGTCTGTTGCTGCCTTGGCTGCATCATCTGCCGCCTCATTTCCCCGGATGTCAGCATGGCTGGGGATCAAGCATAGGGCCGTAGACGTGGCTTATATACTGTAGTGAGGTGAGGTGAAGCAGGAGGAGGTGGGGTCATAGTGGTACCATCCACTAGTCGAAGTAGGTCTTTGTCCAAAGGTTGGACAAGTGTTGAAGAATTCTTTGTAACAAGATCCCATGATGTTGCAGTGTCTGACAGTTGTGATGAATGGTTTGAAAAACCGACAAGTTGAAGATTGAGACACTTATGCAACATATGGGAATCTTTATTCAGGAAATGTTTCGCCACACAGTGGCTTCATCAGTCCAATACAAAGTAGAAAGACGTAAGGAGAGGAGGAGTTTGAGGTCTCAATCTTCAACTTGTCGGTTTTACAAACCATTCATCACAACTGTCAGACACTGCAACATCATGGGATCTTGTTACAAAGAATTCTTCACCTTCATGAATCCTTGTGGGTGAAGGACTACTTGATTAGGATTGGATTGTGTCACCGAATAGCTGAATCCTCCACATCCCCCCTCCCTGGCTTCACTATCCTACGGTATATAGCCCGTCTCCCCTTGCTGTACATTATAACAAGATTGTCATTTTGGACGAACACTTCGACTAGGTGGAACTGAATTACCTCTACTCCTCCTCTTTAGCCACGTCTGTTCTACTTCTAGATTGAGGACTGATGAACCAGGCTGAGGACGAACAAACTGTTTTCCTGATGAATAAAGATTTCCATATTTGCATAAAGTTCCCAATCTTCATAATTCCATTACATACAGTTATATTCATACATAGCAGCATATGTGTAGAAAACCTAGGATAACCCCAAAAAGTCAGCTAGAATGACTTATTTCCATTGGGGTCCTTTCTGTGTCAGATAGGAAGATGAAGAAAATGATGGGAGCGAGTACTGTACCTTGTGGAGTCAACATCACACCCAGCATATCGCCAGAAGCACACATAATAAACCTAAATAATATCTTAGGATTCTTTGCACGACATAATGTTAGGCCTACCCTGGACTATGTAGCATCTGTAGTCCCTGAGCTGAGGGGGTTAAATTTTAAGGAAAGACACGTTTGTAGTAGGAACTACACCAAACGATTTTAGACGAGAGGACTATGGGAGACACAATTACGGTATACAAGGTTCTCGGAGGATCTGACAGCAGATAAGGAGAAACTTCTTGAAATGCCAAGCAGGGGCGAGATGGGTCATAGTTGGAAGCTGTGCCACAGATGAGCCAGAGACATGTTTGCAGATACTTTGTGTCTGGGTAGTAAATAATGGAGCTAGATGAGGAAGTGGTAGACACAATTCTAATACACAGTTTCAAGAGTAGGTTTGATAGGTTAAATGAGGACAGGAAGGGCCAGACGAGGAGAGGAGACCCCTGCAAGCACAACCCGATGAGAACAACTCGGTGGGAACAAATCAGTGATGCCCAGATTCTTGCTTCACGTCTGAGAAACAACAATCACAACATCAACAATGGAAGAACAATGCGAGTAACTGCATACTTTGTGACTTAAACTCATACAGAGGATAATTATTAAGAATATTGCGATAACTATAACCATAAGAGTACAAAAAAAACATGCACGGGGAACGAAATCGTCCAAAATAAACGTAACGAACAGAGTTTTAACGAAATTTAAGATACGAACAACGTTAAGAGAGAAAATGAGATTAATATAAGTTTGCAGGCAAAATACTGTTGTCGTAATGAATGAATGAAGAGCTTACCAAATTTAAAATGCAAATGAAAGCCACAACATATTACACTGGGAGTGTCAGCAGCCAAGAATGTTTTGTGTGTGTGTGTGTGTGTGTGTGTGTGTGTGTGTGTGTGTGTGTGGTGTGTGTGTGTTGTGTGTGTGTGTGTGTGTGCTCGTGTGTGCGTGTATATTGTATCACAACGTACATTTGTATGTGTATCAGTGCCTACATGTGCGCGTGCGTATTAGTTCATGTGATATGCGTATTATTACATGTGCGTATGCATATACGGGCTTAAATTTATGAGTGTTTGTGCGTGAGTGAACTGCATGTGCGTGGGTATTAGTGCGTACATGCATGTAATTGTGCGTACATGTATGTGTGTATTTGTACGTACATGTAAATGTGTGCACTAGTCTGTACATGTCTGTATCATGTGTACGTGAATTAGTGCGTATGTATTAGTACATACAAGTAGGTACATAGCGTGCGTATTATCGCACGCCTGTGCTTGTGCATCGGCGCGTACATGCGCTGAGTAATGGAGAACAAGCCCTTGCCAGAATCACGCGTTATTTTCTTAAATAAAATACAAACGTGTCCCGTCACACCCCTTCCCCCCCCCTCGGGAGATTAGCAAACGTCACGCATTTATTTGGGGGGGGGGTCAGGGTCAATCACCTGTCAGTACTGCGGCGTGTAACGTTCCTGGCCAATCACAACGAACGTAAACAAAGCCTAACAGAATGTAAACAAAGGCGCGCCAGTCCCATATCTACCACTGGCAGAGCAAGGTTAAGTTACCTTAGGTTATTTCAAGTTCGCTTCCGTTAGACTAGGTTACGTTTCTTACATATGCACAATGTCTGTCACAAAATCAACTTTATATAGGACAATTCTGGGAATTTATCTTATCACTGTAATCACCCAGGTGCGTATGTGTATCACTGCGTACATGTGCGTTGGTGTATTAAAGTATATTTGCTTATGCGTATTAGCACATAAGAGAAAATGAGTCTAAGTACGAGTACATCCATATACCTGTAAGTGCATGTGTATGCATTTGTGAGTACATGTTTATTTGTGTATGTGTATATGCATGAATATGTGTATTTGTGCATGCATGTGTGTATTGAGTGCACGTGTATATTTGTGAGCGCATGTGTGTGTATTTGTGAATTTGAGTGCTTGTGTGTATGTGTGTGAGCGCATGTGTGTGTATTTGTGAATTTGAGTGCATGTGTGTGTGTGTGTGTGTGTATTTGTGATTGCATGTGCGTATGTGACAACAATGTCATTGGAATCAGGTGAGGGTTGAGGTACCTACCGTGTCTGAGAGTCCCAGCTGTGCTGCCGTGGAGGTCACCAACAGTGCCACACACAACACAAGTGCCTTGCACCTCTCCCAGAACATGGTGACACTCGCCAGAAATCGTCTTATATTATCTCCAACACTACAATATCACGCCCGCCTATTTAAACCCTCGTTCTGTGTACACACTCATCCAGCAGCATCTTGGCTCACATCATGAAAGTCGGGGGAGGTGTATTCACCTGGAAATATTAGTTTGTGTGAGGGGGGAATGAGTGGGTTAGCGCGCGAGGGAGACGAGGTGAGAGGAGAGAAGCGACAACCTTCCCTCTCCGTGACTCAAGCGGCACTACTCGCCTCCTACCCTCCTCCTCCTAACCATCAACCCAACAATGGTTGGCATATGTGCAATTTTTTAAGCTCTCTTCTCTACTGGTCGTCTCTCGCCTCTCGTTACCTCTTATTGCTATCTCATAACACGTTTTATCGGTGGAATTATTCAGTGGCAGGAAATGATAAAGTGCCTCCTGGTTATCATTTTAATCACCAATAAATAACACAACTCTGGCTACTGTGTCCCGTGGCAACTGAAAAATGGCTACTTTTTTGTTTGTTTTTCTTACTGCTGCCTGTCTACTAATTCTAAATATGTCATATTCCTCTGATTTACTTTTTTATTCTTTTTAAGGTTGATGAAGGTCAGAAGGTTAAATGTTCTCCGTCCTTCACACGGCTCAAACATCACATTAAAATTACCCTGTCAATTCTATATTAACTTCGGGGTCAGGAGCTGTGATTCGACCCGTACAGCCACATATAGGTGAGTACCGCCCAGTGCTCTCCCCCTCTAGGCTCTCACTGGCTTAAATATTCTCTTTATTGTCCTTAAAATGTACGACTACATTTCCTCCACATCTAGCCCATACGGGTTTGGCGTTTATTTTCTAACATTATTTAATAATAATCTCTCCACGTCGCTCTGAATTTAAAAAGCAAAAAAAAAAGAAAGTATCATATAATTGACTTACATATATTCCTCCCTAAATTACCTTCGTAATTTTTTCAAAATATAAAAAAAAAAAAAAAGGTGACCAGCTTGGCAGGGAGATTATTTACATCATTAAAGAAACGCCGCGTAACCTTGACAGTTTTTTTTTTTTTTAATTTTTCAGCGATTTAATGTCATTTTCAAATGTCTTAGTTTTACGTGGCATCTCACACTTCTTGGCTCGTGGAGCAGTATAACCACAACTACCATTCTCTCCATAACTGACAATACCTAACTACAGTAACTACTTCCACTCACACCCTTATATATATATATATTTAAACAGCCACAAACTAGATCTTTTGAAAACACAAATATGGAAGTTATAATAGTGTGAGTGAACATCGATCAACGATGTACAGGTGTCTGTCAGGTTCCACCGTCTTACTGGAATTCAATATTTCACTTGTAGTGACAATGGTCTATAAACCTCGCCACTGACCTCTACTCACTATACTAAATACGTATAGTGCATGGTGGTGAAGCTCTTGATCCAAGGGAAGGTTATATGTACCCTGCAGTGAGTACCTCGTATATATATATATATTATATATATATATATATTATATATATATATATATATATATATATATATATATATATATATATTATATTATGCATGCAAGGAATTCGCGAGAGCATGCGAAATATACACAAACACTGATCTCTGGCTGAAGGAGACTCGAACCTTAGGACAAGGTACGCAGTGCTTTACCAATCTACCCACACTGGACAATACCTTAACGTGTAGCATGGCTGCCTTCGATCAAACGTGTAGCGCATGCTACACACCAAGGTATTGTCCAGTGTGGGTAGATTGGTAAAGCACTGAGTACCTTGTCCTAAGGTTCGTAGGTTCGAGTCTCCTTCAGCCAGAGATCAGTGTTTTTATATATATATATATATATATATATATATATATATATATATATATATATATATATATATATATATGTCGTGCCTAATAAGTAAAACTGGTCAATTTATCATGTGGGAGTTCGAATACGTGGATTAGGTAAAGAAATACTCACGTAGGCTGGTAGTACGTATAATTACAGATAATGTGTGTAACGCCCTTACAGCCGTGACCTGCCTCCTTGCTCACTCTCGTTACACTGACTGACTGGTCGCCCACGTACCCATATGTGAGAGGGTCTTTGAATAATGTCAGGTCAGCTCAATATGAATAGACAGTGACTCAGGCAGAGACGGTTGGTCGTGAGTCAACTGGCACAGTGGTTACTGGTAACTGGTTACTACTACTGAGACTGAGAAATTAGCAAGAACTCATTTAAAATTAAGTCCTTTCTAAAAATTTATCTTATACGTTTAAAGATATACATGTATTTTTTTATTAATATTAATGTAAAAAATTTTAATTTTGCACCAAACGAATCTTAGAAAACTTACCTAACCTTATTATAACAAGAACAATTTATTTTAGCCTAACCCAACTAAATATATTTTAGATTTGTTTACAATAATTTAGTACTAAACAAACACAGTGAAACATATTTTTTTTCGTTAGGTCCAGAATGATTTTGGCGAAATTATTGCATACACAAATTTTCGCTTGTCCTATTTGGCAAGATGAGCGTTGCTATTTAAGCCAAGATCGCAAGTTCTGCCTATTCGGCACGATATATATATATATATATATATATATATATATATATATATATATATATATATATATATATATATATATATATATATATATATATATTTTATAGGGAGGTACCACCTCTATAGCTGGAATGGGGACCCTCATCCTCAGAGAAGACAATAAACGTACCTCAGGGAAAACTCAAGGTTCTTCCCGGAGCTGTTTGAATATTTTCTTCTCCTACCACCCTCTACATTTTATATTCTATGGGAAAATTTATTGATAAGTTATTGATAAGTTATGGCAGGAAAAGAGGAACTATAAATGTATTAATTCAAGGATTATGTGGAGTAAAATAAAGGTTGGATGTGAAAAGTGGGTTATAGTATGCGTATATGCACTTGGAGGAGAGAGAAGTGTAGAGGAGAGAGAGAGATTTTGGGAAATGTTGAGTGAAAGTGTGGGGAGTTTTGAACCAAGTGTGAGAGTAATGGTGGTTGGGGATTTCAATGCTAAAGTGGGTAAAAATGTTGTGGAGGGAGTAGTAGGTAAATTTGGGGTGCCAGGGGTAAATGAAAATGGGGAGCCTTTAATTGAGCTATGTGTAGAAAGAGGTTTGGTAATAAGTAATACATATTTTATGAAGAGGATAAATAGACATACAAGGTATGATATAGCACGTAATGAAAGTAGTTTGTTAGATTATGTATTGGTGGATAAAAGGTTGATGAGTAGGCTCCAGGATGTACATGTTTATAGACGGCAACTGATATATCGGATCATTATTTAGTTGTAGCTACAGTTGGAGTAAGAGGTTGATGGGAAAAGAGGAAAATGGCAACAACAAGCAAGATGGAAGTGAAAGTGTATAAACTAAGGGAGGAGGAAGTTCGGGTGAGATATAAGCAACTATTGGCAGAAAGGTGGACTGGTGGAAGTATGAGCAGTGGGGGGGGTTGAAGAAGGTTGGAATAGTTTTAAAAATGCAGGATTAGAATGTGGGGCAGAAGTTTGTGGTTATAGGAGGGTGGGTGCAGGAGGAAAGAGGAGTGATTGGTGGAATGATGAAGTAAAGGGCGTGATAAAAGAGAAAAAGTTAGCTTATGAGAGGTTTTTACAAAGCAGAAGTGTTATGAGAAGAGTAGAGTATATGGAGAGTAAAAGAAAGGTGAAGAGAGTGATGAGAGAGTGCAAAAGGAGAGCAGATGATAGAGTGGGAGAGGCACTGTCAAGAAATTTTAATGAAAATAAGAAAAAAAAAATTGGAGTGAGTTAAACAAGTTAAGAAATCCTAGGGAACAAATGGATTTGTTAGTTACAAACAGAGTAGGGGAGTTAGTAGATGGGGAGATGGAGGTATTGGGTAGATGGCGAGAATATTTTGAGGAACTTTTAAATGTCGACGAAGAAACGGAGGCGGTAATCTCATGTACTGGACAGGGAGGTATACCATGTTTTAGGAGTGAAGAAGAACAGGATGTGAGTGTGGGGGAGGTATGTGAGGCATTACGTAGAATGAAAGGGGGTAAAGCAGCTGGAACTGATGGGATCATGACAGAAATGTTAAAAGCAGGGGGGATATAGTGTTGGAGTGGTTGGTATTTTTGTTTAATAAATGTATGAAAGAGGGGAAGGTACCTAGAGATTGGCAGAGAGCATGTATAGTTCCTTTATATAAAGGGAAGGGGGACAAAAGAGATTGTAAAAATTATAGAGGAATAAGTTTACTGAGTATACCAGGAAAAGTATACGGTAGGGTTATAATTGAAAGAATTAGAGGTAAGACAGAATGAAGGATTGCGGATGAGCAAGGAGGTTTGAGAGTGGGGAGGGGATGTGTAGATCAAGTGTTTACAATGAAGCATATATGTGAACAGTATTGAGATAAATTTAGGGAAGTTTTCATTGCATTTATGAATTTAGAAAAGGCATAAGACAGAGTGGATAGGGGAGCAATGTGGCAGATGTTGCAAGTATATGGAATAGGTGGTAACTTACTAAATGCTGTAAAGAGTTTTTATGAGGATAGTGAGGCTCAGGTTAGGGTGTGTAGAAGAGAGGGAAAATACTTCCCGGTAAAAGTAGGTCTTAGACAGGGATGTGTAATGTCACCATGGTTGTTTAATATATTTATAGATGGGGTTGTAAAATAAGTAAATGCTAGGGTGTTCGGGAGAGGGGTGGGATTAAATTATGAGGAATCAAATACAAAATGAGAATTGACACAGTTACTTTTTGCTGATGATACTGTGCTTATGGGAGATTCTAAAGAAAAATTGCAAAGGTTAGTGGATGAGTTTGGGAGTGTGTGTAAAGGTAGAAAGTTGAAAGTGAACATAGAAAAGAGTAAGGTGATGAGGGTATTACATTATTTAGATAAAGAAAAATTGGATATCAAATTGGGGAGGAGGAGTATGGAAGAAGTGAATGTTTTCAGATACTTGGGAGTCGACGTGTCGGCAGATGGATTTATGAAGGATGAGGTTAATCATAGAACTGATGAGGGAAAAAAGGTGAGTGGTGCATTGAGGTATATGTGGAGACAAAAAAGTTATCTATGGAGGCAAAAAAGGGAATATATGAAAGTATAGTAGTACCAACACTCTTATATGGGTGTGAAGCTTGGGTTGTGAATGCTGCAGCGAGGAGGCGGTTGGAGGCAGTGGAGATGTCCTGTCTAAGGGCAATGTGTGGTGTAAATATTATGCA